TATCTTCTCATATTTTTTTACACTTTTTTGCTTCACGTTGATAAATTCGGCCTTCTCTAACTCTCTCCCCTGCCGTACCAGCCAAAACCGCCTCCATCGCTAGCGCCCTCTCCTTACCTTCCCCTTCCCCCGGGGGCCTCCTCCACCCCCTCTAACACACATCCAGCTACATCCCCAACATTGACCTACACCACCATCCTCTTAATCCTACCTTTCTACTCTCCGCTTCCTTCCCCCCGCCCCCCCCCCCTCCACACCCTCCACGACGGCCCTCTGGCACCAGCCTTCGGCCCCTCCTCCGAAGGGGCCGGGAGCTTAGGGGTACCCAAGCCCCGCTCCGTCCCTCGGCCGGCGGGCCGCCGGGCGTCCTGGCGGATGGGGGTCGCGGTATCGGCGTCCCCTGGACCCGCGGAGCCGAGCTGGCTTTTCGCGCATCCTGGGCGGGGGACTGCGCGGCGAGGGGCGACCGGCGCGGACGAGGGGCGCTGGCCGGCGGGCCTGTCTGCTCGGGCTCCGCTGGGCTGGGGTCTCTATGCCTCCGGCGGCCCCGCTGGGCGCTGGCACTAAGTCCCTGCTCCAGGCGGCAACTCCCGAGGTTGGGGGCGCCTCGGGGTTCCCTGGCTCCCGGGAAGCCAAGCCCAGATCGTCGCCCTCTCCTCCTTTTCGCTTTCTAACGAGGCCCTGCGGGAGACAGCCCTCAATTAAAAATTCCGCACACCCGGGCCTCGGGGCCTCCAGCACGGGGCTGGGGCAGGGGCTGGGGCGGAGCGAGTGGGTCCGGTCCCGTTGGCCCGGCTCCTGCCCGCTGCTGCGGGCGGTGGGAGCACTGACTGGTGGTCACGGCCGACACTGAGCCCCCGCGCCGCAAGCTGGGCTCTGCACCGGGCCTGTGTGCGAGGCTGGGCTGGGACGAGCTGCCCAGCGCCCTGTGCCCAGGCGTCCCAGAGGGGCCTCGCGGGGCCACCCTGCCCTTTCAGTGAGAATGGACCCTGCTTGTCTTAACTTAGTCTTTGCTTGCGGAAGGAAGACGGCATTTTTTCCATATCTATTCACATTGGGCCGTTTGGGGGCCAGGCACCGATCTGTGGCTGAGCCATCTCACCACTGGCTTTGCAGAGGGTGAGGTACCCGTGCGGGGGTCTCATTCCAGGGCTTGGTCCTGTGGGCTGAGCCACTCTGGCGTCTTCCACCTCTGCCCCCCTTTCTGGAATTTTTTCCCTTTTTCTTTGAGAGAGAACAGTTGTTTTAGAAAACATGACCCGAACGCTTCGGGGCGCCAGGGAACAGCTTTCCCCAGGGGCAGGTTGCAGGTGCCGAGCCTGTGGGTGGCCAGCGGCTCAGGCCTCTGGGTTAGTGGTCCTGCTGGTGAGGTGAGGCGGGCGGGGTGGGGCTTCTCTCCTCTGGGCAGTCCACCAGGCCGGGACAAGGTCTGGTTTCCTCGTCCAGAGCTGCTAGGGCTCCCTGCCCTGTGCCCCTCACTCCTGGGTGGCTGGGCTGGAGAGGGTCTCCTGGGCGGAGAGCCGCACAGACCCGCGTCCAGGGCATCAGAGACCGAGTCGGAGCTTGTAGGAGTCAGCTTGCTGAGCTGGCCGCCTCCTGGGGATAGGGGAGGCTACCAGCACTGGACGAGAGCCCCTGAGGGTGGTCTCCGGAGCTGGGCCGAGACTGGAAGATGGCACTAGCGATGGGGCACCCGACAGTCTTCTGTGGGGCTGTCTCTGCAGACCTCTGGGCGTTTGTTGGGGAGCACGGCCGTGCACCTCCCCCTTTCCATCGCCAGGTCCGGGCTTCTGTGCCTGGGAGGAGTGTGGGCTGAACCAATGCGTGCGCACATGCGTGCATGCGTGTGTGTGCGTGTGTGCGTGCGTGTGTGCGCGTGTGAGAGAGAGAGAGAGAGAGGGGCGAGGTGGGTGCTGGCAGGAGGGCCAAGTAGGTGACAGTCACCTCCCTGCTCTCTGCCACCTCTGCCCGCTTTCGCGGACACCCCGGACCCGACACCTGTTCACGTGTCTGCCTCACTGTCCCTGAGTACTTACAACCCTTTTCTTAAAAAAAGAACAGTTTCACAGGACTAATTGGTGGGGTCGGATTGTGAAATGGAGGCACATGAATGAGCCACTCTGCCCGGGCAGCTCGGCAGCTGGATGAGAAACAGCTAATTCTCGGAGACACCAGTCACACCCTGCGGCTGAGA